AAGTATGCAAGAGACTATCAGATTCAGGCTATCATGTCCATTTCAGACTAAGGTCATAATTACAGGTCCATTGAGACCTCTAGTGGTAACAATTGTTGGCCTAAATCTCCCATGGGATTATTATCGGGATAATGTTTGTTTTAACACCTTCTACATGTTTTAAGATTTAAATGTTTTGTTGACATACAGCAGCCTAAAACTTTTTACATCAAGGGTGGCACATTCTTCAGTTGAAATAACTGGAAGATATTTTATTTGCTGAGCTGTTGTGGGCAAATTGCTTTTTTTTTCTTTTTTTTTTGCATTTGCTTTCATCTACATTTCAGATGACCTATTGTGTGCTGGCTCCTGAAAAGGCAGAATATCTGTTAGTATTCATGTGAATTTTATATTTGCGGTCTCTCCATATGACCCCCTTTCTTTGTTTGAATTTTAATTTTTTAAAGTAAGCTATTATTCTTATTCTTTTGATTTTTCCCAATTTTAAGATGAATTTTAAACCTAAGTTATTTTCAGTAGTTTCTATGGAGCATGAACAGTGAACTGCACTATATGCTAACTTTACACTTGGATGTTTGAACATCTGCCAGTAGCACTAATGGGAATGGAATGAAAATGCAACAATAGTTTGCAAGTTTACATTAGGGAGAAATGATTTCTGACTTTTAGAAAAGTGCCTTGTCAAATAGTTTTACACTGCTGACATAAATCAGTCCATGCCTTATTTGAAAGGGTGTAAATAAATAGTCATTTAATTTTGACTCCTACTTGTGTTTTTTAATAAAAGTAGATTGCAAAATCTTTAAACTTCAGATGTAACACTATAAGTACATTACGAAGTCTGTGGACATTGGTGCTCCTATAAGCTGCTTGGCTCAAAGTTGAGGGGAATCCTAATTGTAGAGCATACAATAATATTTCTGTATTTTAAATGTGGCAACAGTTTGGGGAATACGTCTTCTAGTTTCAACAGTGCTTCATGCATTGAGCAATATCTATAAAGAAATATATTTCCAAGTTTTGTGTGGAAGAACTCCACTGGCCTACACACAGCTCTGACCTCAATCCCTTTGAACAGCTTGTGGATGAACTGGAGGCCGACAGCTAGCTAAGGGTCCAGGCCTTATCATCCAGCATCATTGTCCAACCTTACATTGTGGTTAACTGGTGCAAATCTTGGCAGCCAGGCTTTGAAATTGTGATAAGTGATTTCCTGGAAGAGTGCAGCAGCTTAGTAATGCCCATACAGTTTTGAGATGAGGCTTTCAACAAACGCAAGAGTGTGAAGCTCTCCTGTCCACATACTTTTCAGCACAAAGAACACTTTAATACTTAATGTTAATATTTTGAGAATGACTTCTGTATTATATTAAACCTTTTCTCTCTCTCTTTCTTTTTGTTTTGTGTGTTTCAGATGCCGAGTCTCCATGGCCACTTTAGGAGAAGACTGGAAACTTCAATCTGATTCTGGTGATCACCTGAATGTCTTTAGGTGGTTTAAATAATAGCTAATGGCTCTGTATCCATCCATAAACATGTGCTAAGGATTAGAAGGCCAAAAGATGAAGACAGCGCAAATAAGACTGTTTTGAATGGAAGGACCGCAGCAGCAGTTCTGGTGATGTTGTAGCAGCACGGAATGGTTTGTGGGTTATACTGAGATGCAGGCCATACTGTGCTGCCGCACTAAAGCCTGAATATACTACATAGCTATTATCTCACAGTCTCTCCACCAAACATACTGTTGCAGTGAAAGCTTGAGGTAACAGGTAACGTACTGTCACTTTTGCATAAAACAGTAGTCTTTACTGACTTGAATTAATTTCTCATAGCCTTTCTTCTCCCTCCCCCCAGCTGTGATGAGAAAGTTGTTTGGGCTTCCCCATTCTCAGTTTCTGGTCGCCTTACTGTAGCAGCACGTAAATATTGGAGTTAACACTCTAGCTGAAGTCTCCAGTATTGATCGTACTGCTGAAGCAAAGCGGGCCACTCACAATCACAGCAACTAACCACCACTGAGTGTGGTGGCAAACAGAGGCTGGCCTTTAGAAATGTTTACAGGTACAGGTTGACTCACTGATTCTTACTTAATGTCTATTCCATATTGTATTGACATGTAAAATATGTATACTACATTTTATTACACTTCACTATTATGTGTAAACCTTTTGAGAATAAAAACGTTTTAATTCTGTTTTGTCTGCAGTGTGTTTTCAAGTTGACATGCTAAACTTTTGTCGGTGTGGTGTGTTTAGTAGTCCTTAGTTTAAGGGACAAGAAAAGCGTTTGTGTTCCTGATAGCGGAAACTATTAACGAGGCTTTAAGAAGCGCCGCCGTCCTTGGAGAAGAAATGCTCACAATGGCCTGCGTGGCCTTTCTGCAGCGCTGCTGGGATATTTGGGCCTATTCAGCAAAGCGCAGTGACAGATTTGCTTCGGATTCAAATCGTTACAATCATGCTTGGATTGTCGCCCAAACACCAGGAGTGCTTCTGAAAAATCAAGATGAATTCACTGTCTGTGGTGTGTTTAAAAAAATAAATAAACAAATAAAAAGAAAATACGGTTTTTAATATAATTTGGGCTCAGTTTATTCGATAGTTGTTTTTTTTTTTTAATAACTTGCTTATAGCGGTCAGAATTTACCTTATATTCTTTTGCATTATAACTGCCTTTATATTTTTAATCCATAGCGATATATTTTGTGCACTAAATCTGCAGTTGTGCTCGGGCGGCGGGCTAAGCTCTCCATTTTAAGTCCTGCCAGGATGATGCTGACGATGATCCAGAGTCAGACTCTCATAAATAAAAAGCGTTTAACTTCGATTTACAGGCCTTTGGTATAGGATCGTTTAAGCTGGTTAATATCTGTATTCTTTCAAAACATCACGTAGGCTTTATGTGAATGTATAAATTAGAAAAGATTAATAGAGAAGTTGAGTGCGTTGTTACACTCTTCTGTACAGTTATACATACCAGACCTTTCCGTTTTTTTAAAGTTTGTAAGAAACACAAACTAAGTGCTTGCATTTTCTTTCTTTTTTCCTTGGGAACAGTGAATTCTGTCTAGTCCAACACTTCCCCTTTTACTGACGAAACGCAGCTGCAGCAGTTTCCTTCCATTTGGCCTTATGCGCCTTTTGTTGTTATTATTATTATTAAAAGTTCAGAAAATCACGTATTTATGAAACTAAGAGAAAAATAGAATTGGTGCATTTAACAAGGGTGATATTTATGAATTTCTAATAAAAGAGTCTCAGGGATTTTATTATCCCTGATTTATTTCTTTGCAAGAACTTTTGAGTTTTACGAAATTATACAAACAATATAACCCTCCTACTTGTATATACACATTAAGCATATTTTATACCATTCATACGGATTTACTAAATTATCTATAATATCTTAATCTTTAATATTGCCAAGACTATACGGTGGACATAAAACAGCTGTGTGTGTGTGTGTGTGTGTGTATTGACAGGGTAGGTGGGAAAGGGGGGGGAAATGTTACTTATAATTTTGGAAATATTTATATCTTGTCTTTCTAAATGCTATGATTTAAATGCTCAGTGTTGCATTTAAATTCCATTATTTTGCGCATTGGAAAAGCAACAGACTCCGCACACATCAAAATGTGGAAGCAGCGATAATCGATGTGCAGTCTGAAATTCCCTATAGTGACTTAGAATTGTTTATATATGCATTTTTATCACTGCTGGTAATTTTAAAAAATGCATATTTACCTGCTTATACCTTTCGACGCATTTTATTACCTTTGCCTACATTAATATACGGCTGTACATTAGTTCCCATATCCACCCCCACACCAAGAGAAATTGGTTCCTGGGTAAAATTTGTACCCGCTAATGAGAAAAATAATGGGAAAACTCATTATTCAATAAACAGCAATTTTAAAAAAAATTACAATCACATGCTGGGTTTAAAAACGTCCCAGAGTGCTGGAAATGCTCCAGAAATGTGATATTTGCTACACTGAAAAGATTATTCACAAATTATTTGAGTATTTAGTGACCGCCGATTGTCCAGATGAGAGCTTGGAGTTTTTTATTCTCACTTTTGGTTTAAAGCGGCTGACCGTGCGCTGTCTTTATGGCCGTGTTAAAAAGTCAGTTATACAGCCGCCCAGTAGTTTTGTTTCATTTTTATCTAGTTAACATTTAACAGGCTGTGTTTATATTTGCGTGAGATTAAAATTAAATATTAATAGAGACTCCTACTTTTATACCCATGCTTTATTTGCCTGGCAACAGAAAGCTATATATATGTACATGCGTGCCATGACGTAGATCCTGAATTATGGTCAGTGCTGACATCACTGATTCGCTTTGTGGCGTGATCTTATGGAGTCTCCCTCTCCAAAATGCATATAGGGAATACATAAACAACAGGATAACTGATCTTTAGTCACAATCCACTGTCCTTTTACTCTGATCCATTAAAAAAAAGAGGAAAAAAAAGCCAAGTATCTGATTTGAGTTAACCCAGATTAATTCAATTTAACCACGTGTTTTGAGTTTTAGGCCTCAAAGTTACTTTCATTTCTATTCAGACGCACAGCAGAAAACCAGAGAATATACACACTTCTATTAATTATCCACTCTGCAGGATTGACTTCACTGTCTGGACACAGTCATGCAATGAATGAGTCGCATAACAACAACAAAAAATAGTATGCACGACTGCCTGCAGATCTATGATCTGACAGACACCTATAAGGATGTAAGGTTTCATCCACACACGTCAACGAGCGGTGTGATCACCGGGAGCTGCGGTGTCTGCAGCCTGCTGAATTTTTCACACGGGCCCTGTTATGTAACGCTTATAACCTTGAAGAGGCTGCAGCATCACTATGGCGCAGAAGCCTCTGTGGGAGAGAGGCCGTGGATCACACTGCATTCTTTCATTACGCACTTGCTTACTTCATCGAATTGCATTTACATGTATACATTTGGAAAAAGCAGCCCGTTCTGAGCTGTCGCATTAAATAAAAACAAAGAGTTGACTCAAAATTCTCAGATTTATTTGTGAAAATCACGTTGAACAAATATGAAATGATTTTTTTTTCTTTTTTAGGAAAAAAAAAAGGAATCGATTGCACATGGAAAAAAAGTGAATTGGTGTTTACTTGATGAAAAGACTATAACCTCAGAGGATTAAGGGTTGATTCGTTTGATTCTATGGCTTCATCGAGGTTGCAGCTTGTTCAATAAGGCAAAAAACAAACAAACAAAAACAACTAATGTAAACAATTAGATGTTTTAAAGTACTCGCTAGAGTTTTACATCTCACTTGTCATGTGTAAATTATCTGACAGCTGTGAGTTAACGCTATCTAGTTAGTGGGTAATTTATAACTGTCAATAAAGCGGGCAGTAGAGTCGATTAACTGCATGATATATTTCTGACCTGCATCAACCACATATATGTAAATGTTCTTGATTTCCTGGAGGCACGCACCGGTATGTGCAAAGAGAGAGAAAAGTGCAGCGAGAATTGATTCAGCCTCCCAGGTCACATACGCTGTGAAGGTGTGCGGCAGCAGCAGAGGCAGCACCAACGAGCTGATAAGTGTGAGGATAAGAATGCTGATCCATCTGGGCACTGCCATGCGTTTGTTCCCTATTCGGTAGGAGCCACTCTCGTGGGGGACCGACATCCTGTCCACTTCCCTGAGCCTCAATGAATCCCAGTTTTTAACGTCGAAATTACGCACAAGGGGACCGACGTCCATGTCTTTCCGAGACGGCAGTGGAGTATTGTTAAGCAGCTTTAACTTGTCCCGGAACTCTTGCATCTGCTGCAGAAAGCACAGGGTGTCGGAAACGCTCCCGAAAGACCCAGCGATGCTGAGCGCGCGTTTCTGCTCCTCCAGCGCTGCGCTCAGCTTGCTGATCTCCGGGTCGTATGCTTGCATCACCACCAGCTTTAGTGTTTCGAAGTCGGACAGGATCTCATTCTTTTTGCATTCAAGGGCACTGATGAGTTTCTCGAAATAGTTTTTTACCTTCTCTGCGTCCTTACTGACCGACAGAAGCGCCCTTTTCTTACTGGCTTGTAGTGTATCCAGGCAGGACAGGTAGTCTGCGCTACGCCAGTTCTTCACCCCGCAAAGCAGCTCATCAAACGCCTTCTTTTCCCGTTCATACGCATCCTCCAAGGAGCAGAACTTGTGCCCTTCGTGGTCATTCGTCGCTGCGCAAAATCCACATATTAATTTCAAGTCGGTGGCGCAAAATATGTTAAGAGGCTGACCGGAGTGTTGTTTACATGCAGACATTTTGGGTATAACCTTTATTTTGCTGAACTTCTCAACTATCCCGCGCAGAGAGTAGTTGATCTGCAGGCTGTTTGCGCCGTTGTGGGGGGTCTCTTTGCGGCAGGTGGGGCATTTGAAAGGTGTCCTAAAAGCTGGACCTCGATTCCCCTCCAAGAGTCCCTCCAAGCATTTCTTGCAAAAGCTGTGTGAGCACAGCAAGACCCGCGGGTCCTCGAACAGACCGCAGCAGATTGGGCATGTAAGTTCCTCTTCTAGCTGCTCCATTGCACCCTGCAAACACATCATCCAGGCGTCAAATCGATACTCAATTTAGAAAACAAATGAAAAAACAAACCAACAACAAAACAAAAACCCAACAGCAAAAAAAGGACACGATAAAACGCACTACACAATACGCACCCACTAAGGGATGCCTCCCCATAAGGCAGAAGATGCAATATTTGAACACGAAAAACAATGATGCAGCATCGCAAAGGATACAGATTTGGCTGTCACGTTCCAAATGTGTGTGGAATATCCCCATCCCGAAAGTGAAACCGACTCGGATCCCTGTACGCGCGTAAAAGCTTGGATTGAGCTCTGCCAAAAGCTCCGTTTGAGCAATTTGGGTCATGCAACATCCTGATTTTTGATGTATCTCAGTTGCCAGTTGGCGTTGAAAGAAACTTTTAAAAAAAGAGAGAGAGATCTCTGCAGGTTGGATGCGAATCAGAATAATCAGTAACTTTATAGTTAACAGTAAATCATTATCTCCTAGCTGTGTATTGCAAAATAGGACGGTGGTTAGCTGAGCTGAGCTGAGCCCCTAAAATCCCCGTCGTCTAACCAATCCAATGCGACAAATTATCGACAAACAGCGCTCGCGTTAGAGTCGATCCTGTTGGCAAGGTACTGAAGGAGGGCTGTGACAGATTTTGCAAGCGCATAGTAACATGCAACTACTGGACCAAAAGATTCACTCACCAGCTGCTGACTGCTGAGACGCACAGTGCAACGCAATCATGGCGCTTGTTGCTGTGCAGACTTCGCCCTTTTCCGGGTTTGGAGTTAACCATTTCAGTGGCGTGCCAAATATTTTCTGCAGCATAAAAACTCCTCTATAACAGCGCACTTATAATTCAAACTGCACATAAATCCATACCGAAATGAAAACTATTGGCGTTTTAAAGCGATTTGACAGGTTTCTCCTTGAAGATCGGGATGTTTACGTTTTTAGCCCTGCGGGTAATTTGCAGAGGATCCCTGCTTGTCTGTTGGGGGAGGGGCTGTTGCTATGCAAAACATTCCAGCGTGAAAAACTGTCAACCAGGTTTTAGTAGCAGCTTTGCCGTTGCACGTTTTTTTTCCTGCAGTGGACTACTTCTGTCCCTCGTGTTGGCACTTGTCAATATATACCTGCGGACCCCCATCTGTATTAGCTTATATATATATATA